TCATTGTTCTATCACTATTGTCATATTGCTACAATCTATCCCTCATCTTTAGACTGCTGCCTCTAAACTTTCATTGTCGAACCTTTATCATTCGATCATTAATGCCAGAATGTCGCCCGTCTATAATTTACAACCTCCATTGTCCAACTACAACTATCAAACTCTTGGCACCTAGCTATGGTTGCTTGGCAAAGATCTTATGTCTGCAACTTTTGTTGTTATATTACAAGTGCCCAGCTTTTTATGCCTAATTATGGTAGCTTGACAAAAGTCGCTCGTTTGTAATTTCTTGACCTCTATCACCAAACTATGATCCCTTGAAGTTCATCGACCAACTACAAATGTTTAATCTTTATCATCGTGCTTCAATCATTCAAAAGCAGTCACTCGTTTATAGCCCATGAACATCATCACTTAACTATGATAATTTAGCCTTCATCGCAAGTTAACACCAGCATCAACAACCATTTCTTTCATCACTCGTCATCCCTAATAATGGCGTACATACAAAATCATTAAAATAGTGAAATCATGTCATTTGCACCAAACTAAAACTAAAATTATTGATTTGTACCTCTTTTTCTTAAAGAAGAATGACCGAGCATTCCTTAAGTGATCACTAGATGATAATTGTAGAGGCTTCAATGTTCTTCGGATTAAATTATGGAGCTCATTTTACATAATTCATATCTATTATAATGCATTAAGGCCTCCTTGAAGTATAAGAAAAGAAGTCTTTTGTAACCTATAACATATGCTAGTAGAATAATTTCATTGGAGCCGGATCTCGTAATTTCTTTTCTTTGTAGATTTTTCATATTACAATGTGGTGTCTCGTCTTTTAACTCTTCTTTTATTTGTGTGTGTATTAAATCTCCATACAATGGTATGATATTAATATCTCACTTTACCATTTATGCTATAAATGGCCGAGTAGCCCCAAATTTTCAAACTTGTTATAACAGCTCACCAAAATTAATTTAAAAAGGATGAACTTGATCAACGAGGGTAAATAAGACAAGTGACTTCACCTATACTTGTTTCCCATTTGAAAACCACCATATGCAAGCAATGTAATTGATATTTACATGTTACATATATTCATTTTATGACAATCATTCATTAAAACTCACCATGCAATCTTTTCATTTTTCATAAATACAAAATATAATATAGAAGGTATTGTTGAAAATAAGAAGTCTTAGAGTTTTCTCTTCATGCATCCTTTTTCTTATTTCATATCTATTTAGTTTTTGTAGGAACTTGATCTTGGCAACAGATAGATTTAGATTTAACAATTAAAGCTCAATAATGCTTTGTAGAAATAGTTTGTTTACAAAAAAAAAAAAAAGTTTCTTTCATGCATTATGTGATGCCAAAATAGATGGCCCACTGCATTGTAATGTAATTGTTGTCTGCTCATTCAGTGAAAGATCATAGTTTATACATAAGCACAAAAGTTTTGTCAATTTGCAAGAAAAGTCCATAGAGAATGATAAATTTTATGTAGCTCTCAATTACTTTATAATAGGGCTGTCAAAACGGCTCATTGTTCGCGAACAACTCGTGTTCGGTTCATTCAGTAAGTTAATGAGCCGAACATGAACAAAAATTTGTTCGTTCGTGTCCGACTCATTTTGGCTCAAAATACTACTCATCAATTATATATCGAACACTCATTTTTGGCTCGAAATACTACTCATCAATTATATATATATGAGTCAAAATGATGAGTAGCATTCTTAAAAACTTTAATTTACTACCGGTTACAAAGATTTATAATTAATTAAAAAGTATTTATTAAGAAAAGATAATAAAAATTATTAAATTAGATTCAAATGATCTTTCAATATACATAATAATTTTTAAATATTGCTCTAATTATTAAATTAGATTCAAATGATCTTTTAATATACACAATAATTTTTAAATCTTGTCCTAATTTATCTTGCCCCAATCCTTAACATCTTATGACTACGTGATTAGGGTTGTCAAAACGACTATTTGTTCGAGAACAACTCGTGTTCGACTCGCTAGCAAACGAGCCGAACACGAACACACTTTTTGAACTTGAAATATAAACGAGGCTTGTGTTCACTCAACTCGTATTCGACTCGTTTACACCCCTACTTTATAATCTGCGTCAAGTCAAGTCAATGCATTTCCAATCACATGTATATAAAGTCAAAAAGTTAAATTTCAGAGTACATATATTCTCCAGAAAATTCAAACATTGCTGCAAGAACTAGACTCAACTGAAGTCAACTAACATAATACCAAAAATACAACCCATTTGTCAAAGTATTACAATGAAAGACCTGAACATATAAGTAAAAGATACAGACCAAATAACTCATCAAAAAACTTTATCCCTCTCATTCTGCAACAATTCCTCAATGTACACACAACACAAGCAAGCAATTCTCTTCCACCTGCTCCTTTCCTGCCTCCTCCCCCTCACTTGCCAAGCCAATGACATGCTTGCTCTTCTCTCCTTCAAGACCTCCATTTCTCAAGATCCACATCAAGCTCTGTCCTCATGGAATCATTCTTCCACAAACTACTGCAACTGGCGAGGGGTTAAGTGCAGCCTCAGGCATTCTTCGAAGGTCACCGAACTCAATCTCGATGCCTTCAACATCACCGGAACCCTACCTCCCTCCATCTCCAACCTCACCTTCCTCCAAAGCCTAAACCTGCCGAACAACCGTCTTTATGGACAAATCCCGCCGGAGCTCGGCCGCCTCCGCCGTCTCCGTTTCCTTAACTTGAGTGCGAATTTTCTTACGGGCGAAATACCGAGCACTTTATCTCATTGTCCCCAGCTCCAAGTCATCAACTTGCGGAGCAACAAGCTCCAAGGAGAGCTTCCATCCAATCTCTCTAACTGCCTTAATCTTAAGATCATTACTGTAAAAAACAACTTTTTTACAGGCAACATTCCTTCAACTTACAGCACACTCCCAAATCTCCTCTACCTTGATGTGGGAAGCAATAATCTCACTGGTACCATTCCCCCTTCGCTTGGGAATATCACCAATTTCTTTGCACTGGATTTGTCCCAGAATATGATCACTGGTGCCGTTCCTTCATCTCTGACAAAACTTTCTTCACTAGTCTTTCTTTATCTGAACAAAAATAGTCTTATAGGAAGCCTTTCTTCCTCCATTGGCAACATTTCCTCACTTCAATATTTTGATATATCCAACAACAATCTCACAGGGGAGCTACCAAATTCACTCGGGAACCTCTCCTCCCTCACCTATTTTGATGTCACATTGAATTCTTTCTCTGGTTCCATACCTTCATCACTTGCTGGTCTCTCAATGCTCGCCACCCTCGCATTGACCGCAAACCACTTCTCAGGCAGCATCCCACACTCTCTTGGATCCTCGTCTTCCTTCACAGAACTGGTCATCTCTCATAATCAGCTCTCAGGGACAATTCCTCCCTCTCTCTTCAATATCTCAAGCATCGAAAGCATCGGTCTTTCGGACAACCAGTTCGCCGGCGGTCTTCCTCAAGACTTGGGAAATTATCTTCCTCGTCTACGAGCGCTTACGATGTACTATAACAAACTTACTGGACCCATCCCATCATCTTTAGCAAATGCGACCATGCTTGAAGACATTGAGCTCTCAGGAAACAGTTTTACAGGGAAGATCCCTGCAAACTTGGGCAAGTTGCAGATTCTAAACTGGCTGGCCTTGGATCACAATGAATTGGAAGCCATGGATGATCATGGATGGAGCTTCATGGCATCCTTGCAGAACTGCAGCCAACTGCAAGTTCTGCAAGTAGAGAGAAATAAGTTTGGAGGAACCTTGCCTCAATCTATAGCCAACCTCTCTGCAAGCCTAAGCTGGTTAACTTTAGGAGGAAATCAGATATCAGGAAGCTTGCCTGAAGAAATTGGAAACCTTGCTAGGCTTGTATTTCTGACCGTTGATGAAAACCATCTCGAAGGCAACATTCCTGCCACGATTAGTCAGATTCAGAACTTGCAGACATTAGACCTATCCAATAACAAGCTCTCCGGTTCAATTCCAGGTTCTTTGGGGAACTTAACCAGACTAATAAAATTGTACATGAAAGGCAATGCTTTGGAAGGAAGCATACCTGAAAGCCTTGGGGAATGTCAAAATCTGGAAATACTGGACCTTTCGAGAAATAGGTTTACAGGGACCATACCAAAAGAGATTTTAAGCATTGAATCTCTTTCTAAATCCTTGGATCTGTCCCATAACTTGCTTACTGGATTCTTGCCAGCAGAGGTCGGAAGATTGAAAAATCTGGGAGAGTTTCATGTTGGTTCAAACAATCTGTCAGGCGAGATTCCCAGAACCATCGGAAAGTGTGAGGTCTTGGAAATTCTTCATATGGAAAGCAACAAATTTGAAGGGGAAATCCCCCAAAGCATGAAAAACTTGAAAGGTATACAGGTGCTAGATGTTTCAGAAAACAGATTGTCTGGCCTCATCCCGGAATTCTTAGAGGACTTCAGTTTTCTACAGTATTTGAATCTTTCTTTCAATGATTTTGATGGTGAGGTTCCAAGAAAAGGGATTTTCAGAAATGCAAGCGGTGTCTCACTAAATGGGAATGATAGACTATGTGGAGGAAATCCAAAGTTAAACCTTTCATCTTGCACTTTACAAAACAAGATTGAAAGCCATCACCATCCACGACTCAAATTGATTCTGTCCGTTTCAATCTCAGTTCTTGTTTTGTTCGTATCAGTGTGTTTACTTGCCTTTTGGTACTGGCTACACAACAGAAGAAAAAAGACACCTGCTTCAGATTCCATGAAAGACCTGCAACCAAAAGTTTCCTTCTCCGATCTCCTCAAAGCAACAGATGGATTTTCATCAGAAAAACTGATTGGTGCGGGAACTTTCGGTGCAGTGTACAAGGGTATTGTAGACTTAGGTGAGCAGAAGCTGGTTGTCGCCATTAAAGTACTGAAGCTTGAACAACATGGTGCATTGAAGAGTTTTGCAGCAGAATGCAATGCTTTGAGGAGTATCAGGCATCGAAATCTTATAAAGATACTTAGTTCCTGCTCCAGCATTGATTATAAAGGAAATGATTTCAAAGCTCTGGTTTTTGAGTACATGCCTAATGGAAGCCTAGAGAATTGGCTCCACCCTAAAGAAAATTATCAGAACAAGGAGCAGAGTCTGAGTCTCATTCAGAGATTAAACATAGCCATTGATGTCGCTTCAGCACTGGATTATCTTCACAACCATGTAGGGAGACCGATTATACACTGTGATCTGAAGCCCAGCAATGTTCTTCTTGATGATGACATGACTGCACATGTGGGAGACTTTGGATTGGCCAGGTTTCTTTCTGCAACAACAAGCAGGCTAGCTCAGAATTCATCCATGTCAGTTGGAATAAAAGGAACAATTGGATATATTGCTCCTGGTAAGTATTTTCATGTTTATATTTATAAACCTTTGCATCCAATTTAAGAATTGATAAGAACATTTATCACTCAGTGACTTGAACTTAAAAATAACTCATCATATAATAACATATCTTTTGATATAGGGAAATTTACACAGCACTCATCATAAACTTTCATATTTACATACATAGCACTTTGATGTTTTATATTTCACTTTTTATAAAAATGATAGTAGTGCTACTTTTAATATTAAATTTTTTAAATTTTGCGTGTGTAAATATGAAAGTTTAGGTGTAAGATATCAAATGTTCATTAAATCATTTTTTAATGGCAAATTACAATATTAACATTATCATATATATATATATATATATATATAAGAAATTATATCAAACTATCCAATAATGTATAAACTTGACAGAATGACTATAATTACTATAAGATAGAAACATAATTACTCATCTGAACCTTAAAAAATTAGGCTTGCCCCTTGATATTTAAGCTAAGCTCTTTTAGTTCCATGACTATAATCATAAAAAATTTCTTATAAGATATGATTACTTTCACTTAACCATGCATATTTTTTGTTACTGAAAGTTGATCTCATTACTAAATAATATATTTGTATTAATCAAATATATTAATCTCATTTACTTTATCTTTATTTCAAATTAAATATATAAACTACTTCATCTCCAATCTAAATTTAGCAAAACATCGCGAGTAAAATTTCTTATTAAAAAAATAATGTTAAAAGTATATATAATTTATTTTAATATTTACTATGTTATCCAATTCAACCGTTAGTTTAACCTCGGTTGAACCTTTAAACCTCGAGCTCTCTTTTCTAGTCAATGACCCACTCTCCCTTCCTTTCATTCTCTCGATCTTTGTATCTCTACTCTCATTTGCTCACCCGTTCAATTGAACCAATTTTAATTAATAAATTGTTCTTTATATATAAGAGATCATATTAATTACAAATTAACAATATATATTGGCATTTCATGCAGAGCATCATAAAACTACAATTCATAGTAACCCTTCTTTCATAATTTGATTATTATAAAATCTATAGTTTTCCTTTCAAAAGCAGCACTAATCAAACTGCTCAACAAAATACCAGCATCCATGCATGCAAAGCAAACATTTCAAATCAAGGCTATCAGCACAAAGGTTGCAGTTTTCTGATATATTTTGTTCCATGTATATCGCAGAGTATGGCATCACCAACCAAATATCTACTCATGGAGATGTCTACAGCTACGGGATACTTCTGCTCGAAATGATTACAGCCAAGAGTCCAACAGATGAGTCCTTCCAGGATGGGATGAGCCTCCACATGTTTGTTCAGAATGCATTGCCGGAGAACGTGATTGACATCACAGATCCAATTCTGCAAGTCGGAGAGGAAGGAGGAGAGACTGTTGATGAAAGATTAAGAAGACAGGAATGCTTGATTGAAATACTCAAGATTGGCATCTTGTGCTCCAGGGAATCACCAAGGGAGCGCATGAGAATTGATGTTGCAATCAAGGAACTTCACTCAATTAGGAACAAGATTCAAACTTTAGAAACTCGAAGCGAGAAGAATTACAAAGGCATGAAAAGCGGCGAGGGAACATCATACAATTCATACTCATAAGAAGAAGAAGAAGAAGAAGACTTGACTCAAATTTTCCTGAAATATGTATTTCGTTAGGCACTTCAAATTGTGTATGAAACATATAAAGCACATGAAAAAGAAAGAAATTTTTTTTTAGATTTTTGAAATGTGTAATATTATCAGGTACTAATATTTTATAGTGATCCAACAATGCCGTATAAATGAGCAATTAGACACTGGTCCGAGCAGGTGAGCTCCAATTTAAATTGTGCTTTTCAAAGCAGGGCAATTAAATTTTATTTTATATCTTGGTCCACGCAGCATTCCCATATGCTTAAATTCAATTACTTAAAATGGGGACATTTGAATTTAATAATATGCACTGCAGGTCACACATGCAAGAATTCCAGTATGTTTGTAGAAATATAATTGCACCCAGTATAAAGCATTTGAATGTTTATTTCATGATATGTGTAAATATCATTAAAAAAAATAAATTTTATTATTTGCAATTTTTTAAGGTGCTTGCATGAGTTTGGAGACAATAAAGTAAATTAACAGTAGTCTAGAAATTAATGAAGTCCTGAACTCTTTTTCTTTCCTTTTTTCACTGGTTTGAAGATGAGAAGATAAGAGAGAGAGAGAGAGAGAGAGGGAGGGAGTGATGAAATGTTTTACATTGGGACTTCATCAATTCAAATCACCTAGAGATGGCTTTCATGAATCTGTTCAGTGAAGTGAACATGCCCCTGGCCTTCCCCAATAAAGAAGATGAATCCTCTACTTTGTTAGAAATTGCTCCAAAGATTTGCTGCATGTGAAGCATAAATTTTTTTAAAAAATAATAATAAATTTTGCAAATTTATCTTAAGATTATGCCTGTTTATGCAGGACAGCAAATCCAAAGTTTGGTGCATGCATGTTTTGTAAGTATATGAACGAAGAAGGTGCTTAATATTATGGGGGCATTTACATGCATGCCCCACAATTCATAAGCATTTACATATCCAACAACTAAACAGTCAATATTACATGCATATAACTAAAAGCTATAACATCACATCAAAAACACCATCACTATCATTTTAAAAACGAAATACATATTTTCATGCATCGGTTTATGACACCAAGGTGTGATAAATGAAAATATCAAACTTTCGGTGTAAGAATTGTGTGGTATCTATATAAAAAGAATCTAGAACTCGTGCCGGCTTACCTCAATGTCGGTCGCATCGGGACGGCTTGGTTGCTCTTTTGCTAATAGATATCTGTTTGGTCTGTTTACATCATCATAAAATACTTTCCAAAGTCTGCAAAATAATTCACAGAACTAATTAATTTCATTGTTCATTAGTTCCTTCAGTGAGCATAAAAGTGGTTAGCTATAACTCACCCTGGGTAGCATCTAAAGACTGCTCCAGAAGGCAAAGGCCTCATAGAATAAACGACTGTAAATGTGCTGCACGAATTGAGCAAAAAGCGGTTAATGGTCGTAAAACTTTGTTGGGGCAGAGAGCTTCGTAGCAAACTATTGACTAGCACAATAAAAAGAAGGGATAATTACATGCACATCAATCGAAACATTGCTATTTACAAACCTAGCATCTAGATGATTTTTTTTATCTGCAAAATCAAACCAATGCATTTAAGCGAGCCACCACCAAATCATTGAGAATTTGATAAAAATAAAAAATACAGGATGGGCTTTTATCATGAATTTTCATATTTTAGTGAGAATTTGGAAAATGGATGAAACAAGGTATAGCAATGTTTTGAGTGCTATACATGTAATTGAACTAAAAAAAAAAGGCATATGAGGAAAGATAATTCAAGAAATGTGAGCCAAATGCTTTGCAAAATTATGCTTGGCTTTCTCAAAAAAGTAGCCTATAGAATCAGCTTAGCTACTGGTACAAATTTGGCTAGCTCCTTTTTTTTTTCCATTCTACATCCAAATAGCACAAAGTAGTACTTATAGTTAGAAACTAAGTTCTTGACGCTCATGAAAGATCAATCGTATCACAAAAAGTTGGTTTCGGTTTTATTGAAGTGCTTGTATTGCATATTTGACTCCTTCATGTCACCACCTTCACCTTTTCAATCTTATGTTTTTTGTTACCGTTTATCTTTTGTGCTTAAATATCATCTTCTAAGGATTACATCAACCAATATTACCTCAGCCAAAATGCAATATTTGAGCACTTGGGAGTAAGGTGTAACTGAGCCAAGCAAACTCGTGCTCGATAAATGATCCCTGAACTGAGCTCGATGAGTAACTAGGTAAGCTTACACCAACGCGATTCAACTCATTAGCTTGTGAGTTGGCTCGTATAAAAAATAATTAATATAAAAAATACCCAAATATATATTAAAACTCAAAATTTTATTTTTAAATTATTGAAAATGATCATAAATGATATTTTACATTTTATATTAAGTTTTTTCTTATTCTTTATCTCCTAATTACTAGTACTATTTAACATTTTATAATAATACTAGCTTTGATTAATATTATTTTTCCTCTTTTATAAAAATATAAGCTAGATCAATCTCGTAGACTCAATTAGTTAATCAAGCATAAGCAGAAGCTAGCTCAAGCTCAACTCAACTCATTTACACCGCTACTTGAGAGTTTGCATATCTCTCTTACACAAGGTTAAAAACTAACAAAAATAAATGCTACTGATATGAAGTCACAAAATGGCCCAATGTTATACTGAAACCAAAACAAACTGTACAAAGCAGCAACTCTATGAAAGACCATGGCATGAAAATCTTCCTTCATAGAACCTATTCATAAATTTTTGTGTGGTGAATCAATTAATCCAAGGAAGATTCAATCTCTATATCAGCCCACGTCCTTGCACAATGACTCGATCGCCAACCCTTTCATTCATTAAACTTCAACCGCACTCAAATCAATCCAAGGAGGATTTGATCTTTACATCAAACTGTACCATCTTTGTTAAGGCTTGATTTTACTGTTATGTCTTTGCACAATGACTTATTCAAAGAGGATTTGATCCCTACATCAACTCGTATGTGTTTGTGATCCACCACTATCATAATGGTTGCGGGTGTGGGAGCCCCACAATAAATTCTATGCTCACGTCTATCCCAGGTAACTCTAAAAAATATTTTTCATTCCAAAACATGTCCTAATAGAATAAATATACATCATTCTTTAGCAAAACCAAAGTTGAAACCGCAGATAGAAGGGTATTTTCACTTGCTAAGCCCCGAGCCATTAAATATGTAACTTGCTTCTCCCACTCGTACTCGATTGGGCGTATCTAATAAATGAGTCTGTTTGGAGGAACCGGTCCTGTAATGAAATCTATGGCATGCTAGACCACCCTCAGTGGTCGCCACCAGGAGATCAACTATAAATCAGGACATCCAGCTACTCTCTCAACAAGGGCTGCCCCCTTTCTGATATTGGTTTCTTGGACTCGCTGCCTTCCTAGGACAATCAATTTTAATCTTGTTGGAGTCTCCTCGTGAGCTCAGCTTGAATCATATGAACATCTTTCTCTCGTAGAGTGGAAGCTAATACTCATCTCTAACGTTTTCATTCTCTCCTGTGTCGCTATTTATTTCTTCGGTCGTTGCCTGCTCAGCAAATGAGATCATCCTCATGTTTGGGCAATAAAATGAGATCATCCTCATGTTTAAAGGCAAATCCACAAGAGTACAAGATTAGAACCTTAATTTGCTTCTTTACGCATAGTAACGCCTTTGAAAAGAATGAAATCCCACCATACAAATTATTTACGCACACATAAAGAAAATAAAATGAAAAGCAAAAATGGCAATGAGCATTAGAGTATGGGAAGGGAAGAGAAAGAGCATGTTTCATTTAAATATTAATAGCCCCTACAAATAAGCCTTAGAAGGCATGGCAAGTCAGTGCTCTCCTCTAGCCGATCCTTAGTAATGATCTCCAAATAGTAGGCATCAATTGGCTACCTTAAGCAGAAATCAAATGTGTTGCTAGCAAAATAGCATTCTAACCCACATCTTCCTCTCAGGTGAGTGCTTCGCAAACACTTGCATAAGTTAGGTCCCACAAATGATGTTCACCAACAAGTTGTATTCACTATCAATATGTGGGTCTACTGTTGACAATGATTTATGGGTCCCACCATTGATAATGTTAGACATGCTGCTCAAGATTTAGTCCCAAAAATTACTCAACCCATAAATAACATGGGCCTAGATCATGGATTCGCCCGTAAACTAATGAACCACTTTCATACTATGGACTTGGAAAAAGAGCCCAAATTACTCAACCTTAGCTTACACATGCAACTTTGAAAATATAAGTTAGCCTACTTAACATGATTTATGCAAGAATAAAAAAATATCTCTGTTTTAAATTTGGAACAAACATCCCACAGGCAAGAACAAGTCAATATGACATTGTAATTATTATCAATAGAATCTTATCGTCCAAATAGCCAAGTCTTAATATATTAATCTGCAACTCCGAGAAGATTTTCATGTTGTTATCCAAGAGGTAGGTGTCAATTGAGAATATTGTGACAAAGCCCTGTCTAAGACTTATAAAATGATCCGTCATAAAGATGTAATTTTGAAGTCTTTATAAGAAATCCAAAAAAGGAGGCAATTGATACAGCTTGAAAAATACATAACTAATTAATCGATCATCCAGACATTAGCATCAACATTTGTACTACAATCTCCGTGCAACAAAGATAAAACAAAATGATTGTAATTTTGAATCTCAACCATTGGAGCACTTCAAGATGTATGAAGAAACCTCAAACAAATCCATATAATCAAACACAAATCTAAAGCGTCACCCGAGAATCTATGTTTGAGCTCAAACCTCACCCAACATCACTTACAAGAAAATTCTATGACCTAAGTTCAATAATCGCTCATGTGGATTTCAAAGCTTAAGGAAAAAGAATTAACTAAATTAGAAATGAAGATATTATGAAGATATTATTTCCAAAGCTCATGTGGATTTCAAAGCTCAACATAGATGAAGAATTAACTAAATTAAAAATGCATCAACTATAGAAGACTTAGAAAACATACCTCAAGGAGAAAGAAAATTCATAAGCTCCTTTCTTTTCCAACCATAAATTTCAACAAAAAAATGAAGATATTATTTTCAAAATAGTGGCTAATTAATGATCTCACCTTAAAAACTTTCTGCGTAATTTGCGAGCATTGAACCCAATTCCAACATCTTCACTAACAAGCCGTGGATTCCACATGATGAGAGGCCTTGGCTATCAAACCAATAATAACAAATTAAATCTAAGAAAGGCCACTTTTTAGTAATTAAGCATAAATAGATTAAATTATTAAATCTTAAGCATTTTAATTTATTTGTATATGAATGCCCTGTACTATGTCTTGGTTTTTGATAAATCGCAAATAGTACATCTAAAACACATTGCCATCTAAGCATAGCTTTAAAGGAACAATTTAAGAACTTGTCTACCCAATTATGCACACATATGAATGAAGATGCGCTATAGAAAAATATATAAAATAAAGGAATATTTAATCTAATATCTAGAAAATAAATTTAAAAATCATGCCATGTCCCATGTGTCTAAGAAGCAGAATCTACATGCATCAATAAACATTAAAAAAAATATTTAAAATAAAACATACAATGTTTAATGCACACATGTGCATGCAAAATAATATGTAAAAAGCAAAACATTTCAGCACAACTCGATAAGCATAGAATTAACATTCCAAATAATTCATGGAAATGTCATAAGACCACAAAAAAAGAACTCTTCATAAAACATATAGGCCGTCTTCATAAAATGTTTAATAAATTACAATGAAAATTGCTAACTTTAAGCCAAGATAATCTGTGAGTCACTAATTAATTCAACACTTTTGATGACTATATAGTTAAAACAAACTGTGTTGATAATGACAGGCAAATAACTAATAAGTTCATAGTTGAAATCAATGTTTAAAATGAGGTTGAAATACTAGACCAAACCCTTGAAGATACCATTCATTAGAGCCTTATTTATTGAAAAATACAAGAAACAACTGTCTACTTCAAACATTTCCTTAACCACTCAAAAGTTATCTCCAACTACATCTTCTAGTGCTCGCACCCATAGTATCTATTATGAAATAATAATAAGAAGCCTAAAAAAATATAAGGAAAGGTCAATAAAGTCTTTTCTATCAAGCCAATTGATAAATTGTCACAACTAACTCCTTATAAACCAAAGTCTGTAGATAAACATGCTCCTTACCAAAATAAAATTGCAAAATTAAATTTATTTCCAATTGGTTCATTTTATGCCACTGATTCGACCCATACTACAAACTGCTTAAGCATATCATTAAAAAGTATGTGCCACCCTTCATCAAATATAATATTCACACTAAAATTCTAAGATTTAAAACTCTAAAGAAAAAAAATTTCTAAGATCCTCATTTCACTTATTGCATGTAAAGAAGGCCACGCTTTTCTTAAGACCAAATCCAAGACAAACCAATTTTGTTAGTAATAATATTTGAACTCAAATGTGTAATATCCTTCAAAAACTATGCCCAAGCCTCAAGTCCATACATAATACTTGAAAAGCTTGAGCCAACTGCATATGTTATATTTATATGTTGCATGACATAAAAATTAGTCTAGCTTTCGATTTTGAAGATATAATACCATATAGATCACTTTTAAGCCTCCAAAATTTCCAACAAGTATCCTTAGAAGTACAGTTTTTGCATTGCCAATAATAGCACGAGTTCTAGTTCTTATATAAGTTATAGCACCAATCTCAAATATTGAGTAAACTATCTCTTACAAGATCATAGTCACTCACCTTCCTCACTCGCCTCTCTGCCATCTTCACTCTTCCTCGCCTGCTCCTCTTCTATGATACTTGCTCATTTCATGCTCCTACCTTTGTCATTGATTTTCACCCCTCACTCATTTTCATATTCACTTGACTTCAGCTACCCTCTAAACAATCTCCTTCTCCTTCGTCATTCAATCCTCCAAGCAGTCATCTCCCCTGTCTCCTATTGCATTGTTTTCATTCCCCTATTTTTTATGCTCCACTTTTCCACCTCTTCTCCTGCCTCTTGCAACCATTGCAAAATACGAGAATTCAAGAACTTCCATTTCTAACCCTTCACTACACCACATATCATATGATAATATTTTTTCTATCAATCATGATCCCATTATCATTTAAAAATAATCTTTATCGTTCAAGCTTTTAACTTAATTGACAAAGGTCTCAACAAGCAGCTCCATGCAATTTCAAAATATGTAAACCAAGATATTACACTTTGAATATACTTTTTAAGCATCTCCACAATCAGTTATCCAGCATAATTTCATCAGGCATCAGTTAACCAGCCTAGTTTTATTACCACAAATAATGCTCCAATCAAACAGACCAAAATATTTACCTTTATATATTTCTTCATAATTAATATTCACCTTGTTCTCAATCCATAATATATCCAATGTCATACTCATTATAATCTTTCAAAAAAATTCTCATTATAATCTTTCAAAAAAATTCTTTCTTAAAACTCTCATTTAATAATTTCACAAATAACCATTTCCTTCTTCACTTCATTTGAACAAAGATCTTTTTACCATCACTTCTAATGCATCAAACTTGATCAAGATCTCAAGATTTTTAGATTTCATTTTATTCAAAAGATATAGCTCTTATCATGCCCGGTACTCTCTTTACAAACTTTTTAGCTTTCTCGTAACAAATTGCAATTCTCAAGGAAGAAGTTTTCACAAATAAATTATATACTTTGTTGAATTTCCCATGTGGCATCATATAAGATCCACCATATCGTACTCCTTTTTTTTTTGGAAAAAATATAAAGAAAAGCCTTAATTGACAGTAGTGTTGCTAGTACTTCACCATTTAATTTCAAAATTTTAAATTTATTTGCCAAACTAGCAATGGTAACAGCTTTTAACGAATATTACGAACGTAACTTGCAATTGTCTATAAAAAATAAAATTCCATCCAGACTTTCTTTTCATTCTTATAATATGTGAACCAATACCACAATTAGAAGTGCATTATTCTGAAATTAAGAAACGAAGGAAAACAACTTAAGAAATGAGCAAAAATTTGAAGAACAAATTTTGGAGAAGTGCTCTATTAGGATGGACATATTAATGCTAGTTGATCATGGATATGTTATCGTTTTTTTAATTGAACAATTGATCTAACAAAACTGAAGCATGGATGAATCTTGGAGAATTTTTGTCGTAAGAAGGTGATGGTTAAATTCTAAAATGATCCCTCGACCATTTGGATGTGGCCAATTTACATTTAGAGTTTTGCAGTGCTCCAATTTAGTCCCTAAAGTATTGAAAATTGATCCTAATTGGTCCCTCCAAGATTAAAATATGATCAATTTTTTACGGTCGAAGGACAAGAACCAAATTGAAGCATTGCAAAATTCTGGGACTAAATTGACCACATTTGAATAAATGGGGGACCATTTTAGGATTTATTCCATCAAGATCAACATATTTAATTCCAGTTGACTATGCTTACGCCAATGGGTTGCAAAATTAAATAGTTGATCAAGCATAAATTATACATCTAGGTATTATTGAAGGACATATCCTCTACAAGCACAGATGTTAAAGGAAAAATACTTTAATCATTTTACTAATCTTACAGGATAAATGCATCATTAGCTAAACACAATAGGAATTAAACAAAAAGAAACCATATTTGTACCGGTGATTTCAATCGAATCACATACTGGATCATCTGATAACTGAGATGCTATACGTTCCACATATTCTAGCATCTGATAATCCGGAACTAGCATAACTACAACCTCATCTTCTTCTTCTACAGGCCTCCGGTCACTTAAGCTGTAACAGAATATAGAAATATTGTTGGAATTATGACTGTCAAACAGGAAGAGAGAAACGGTTAAAGAGCAGAAAAATAAGGACAACAAATTTGGAATAAATCTAAAATTACACAAAAAAAAGTGCATAGTTGATATGGTTAAGGACAATGAATCAACTACAAATTCAATGCTCGCTATAAAATGAAGTAATCACATTGTTTTGATGTATAAACACTCTTTTTGTATTTAAGCCTATCGATAGTGGTGGAATAAGGAAACAAAAAAAAAAACATTGAGCCAAATGAATTGAATTATTCTACAAATAAAGAACTAAAATGATTGATTTTAAATAAAAAAGAAGAAAATAACCCAACCTCGCAAAATCAAAATTTGCATCTCCCCACTGATATTTCAGAAGAGCAGCTGCACCAGCATCCGGAAATATGGCTCTCACTTTCTGACAATTCGATAAAACAGTGATTTAAGCACACAAACAAAATCACGAAGCTCGTCAATATAAAAAATCAGTAATAGGCATGAAAGACGATGAAACTAGACTGTTTTTCCTCAAAAATTTTTCTTCAAAAACCAAAAACCAAATCAACTAACATGACCAAAAAATTGATCAAACCAAATCAGTGATAGTGGATGAGGTTTTCATGACAGAGAAACTAGAAAGCTTGTAAATTTGCACTTCTATTCTAATAGAAAGTACTACCCAACTTCTTCACTAAAGGACTTTCACAAATATACATTAAAAAGTTTCTCAAGCAAACTTCCAATAGTCAATCTCTACCAATCAGTTTTATCTTAGAGGCTTTGAAAAGTATCTAAGGGCTGACTGAATTAGCAGCCTTAGAATTGCTAAACAAGAAATGAAACGAGCCACGAATTCATGTGCTAAATAAGAGAAAATATCTTGGATTCATACAATTAATATGAGAAATGGAATGAGAAGGATTGCTCCTTTCTACAAGCCGAAATAGGAATTCTAACTGAAAGTTTAGTATTTAAATTATTTATAATCATTAAATCCCAATTACTTTTTTAAATAGTTCTGTGTATAGATAACCAATTTGGGAATGAACATTGGATAAGAGATTCTCTATATAAAGTATGAAACACTACAAATTAAAGGCTATATTGCTACCGACCATGCAAGATTATTAGAGGATAGGAGATTTACTTGAAGATATTGCATGCTATTGGGAGAAAATTTGATAACGTGAAGAAGAAAGAAGGAACCTAGAGCCTCAAGCTATCTGGTGATTTTGGATTTAAGATAATCATCAGTGTATCTATGACCTCGTCTGGTTTAAAAGTATACTAGAAGATTTAAAAATCAAATTGAAGAATTTATGATGATATATTGTGATAATAAATATGCCATTAGCATTGCTCATAATTCAACACAACATGATAGAACAAAACATATGGAGATAGATAGTCATTTGGATAAGAGAGTGAGAGTCACTTTCACTTTCTAGTTACTTTTTTCTAGTCACAGCCAATATTTGAAACAAATCTATAAATAATTAAAACAGAAAGAAGGAATCAGAAACCTCATTATAGACCTACAAGGCATTAAGAATAGACTTCCAACCTGACTCCCTGTCTCTTTTATTAGTGTCTCTAAAAAAATTCTTGATAATTCCCACAGTTCACCTTGAGCACCCTCAGCATCAAGCAATTGCAATTGAGGGATTAATAGCTCAACCTGAAAATACATAAAAATAATGTGAACTGAATAGAATAAGTAAAGAAAAACAAAACAACAGGTTTAAAGCATAACTGTTGTGTTTGAGCTTATTATTTTCCCAAACAGGTGAGTGGTGCATGCTTTTCAGTATGAATTTACAAAAAGACCAAAACACAAGAAGAAAATAGATAGTAAACAAAAGCCATTCAGCACAATTATGAACCAAGTCCCTTAATATTTCAACAACATTGACAAACTTTAAGAGATATAAATATTTTATTTCCCAGAAGGGTCTGATGTCAAACCATTTAAATAGCTTCCATCAAGCAATGAAACAACTCAAGCATGTGCACTTCATTCGTGTTGTGCATGCACAATGATATCACCCAAAATTGTCACTGCAGAAAATTTGATTGAAGTTTTAACTTGATCATACAAAATTGAATACTAATTATATAAGTATAGGTAAGAAATATAAAGAGAACGATCAAATAAAATACTTTTCCTATAAATTTAAGAAGAAGAGAAGAAGATGGTCTTTCAAAAATGAACTGTGATGGAAATATGAAAACTTTTCACTCACAAAAATACATAAGTTTACACTCTTGCAGTATCTTAAAAAGAAGATGATTCCTTTACTGCTCAATTTGGCTTTTATGCTTATTGGGGATGCTTGTATTTTTTTCTTGCCAGTTGATGTTCTCCCAAATCTGAATCTTTATCGTGGATTCCAAAGTATGGCCAATCTAGACCTTGCTTTAAATCTCTAGTGACTAGTTCCTCTTTATCTTTAAATGCATGGTTATGAAAAAACTAAATATAATCTGTTTGCAAATAAACAAAATTAAGAATTTTATATATTTGGGCACATATAGATTTACATAAAAGAGTGACTAGAAAGCTTACTTTATTTATTCCCCAAATAGATATTTATAAATTTAACTACCTAAAAAATAATTAAAAATTGCTAATTACAAAATATATATACCTTGGCCGGTGGGAGAACGGAGTAATCTGTACCACTCCCCTTTCCATGCTTATATGCATGTGTGGCACTTCTTTTTCATATTAAGCAAATAGATCTTTGGCATACATTTTCCTTATCTAGCACATGGATTTGCGGCTCCTTTCATTCATTATTTAGCAATCCTAACTCTTTTAACCTTCTCCCTATAACCAGATGGTAAAATTCTACGATTCAAATTTTGCTTAAGATATTTTTTAATACAGGGCTGCAAAAACTTCTAGTAAATATGTCGATTAACTTCCTATTAGAACATGTGAAATGCAAATTAACCCACATTCAAATTTCTCCTTAATTAAATGACTATCTATCTCCATATGTTTTGTTCTATCATGTTGTGTTGAATTATGAGCAATGCTAATGACATATTTATTATCACAATATAACATCATAAATTCTTTCATTTGATTTTTAAATCTTCTAGTGTACTTTTAAACCAGAAGAGTTCATAGATACATTGATGATTATCTTAAATCCAAAATCACCACATAACTTGAGGCTCTAGGTTCCTTCTTTCTTCTTCACTTTATCAAATTTTCTCCCAATAGCATGCAATATCTTGAAGTAAATCTCCTATCCTCTAATAATATTGCATAGTCGGTATCAATATAGCCTTTAACTTGTATTGTTTCATACTTTATATAGAGAATCTCTTATCCAAAATTTGAATTTAGACGTCCAAGAACTCTATGAGCAACTTAAAGATGAGATTCCTTCAATCTGTGCATAAATTGATTCATAAGATTTACAACACAAGTGATATCAAGATTAATACGCGATTGATTAATCTTCTAACTAACTTTTTATATTGTCCAATGTCAACTTATCTTCCTTCTTCATCTGTGTTCGATTTATAATCTGATTTTTAGAGTGCATAAAATTAATAGTTTTTTGTTCCTCTAAAGATCCATAACATTATTATGTTAATAGATAATTTTTTTTTCTAACCGGACTACTTTTATACACAAAATATTTAAGTTTGTTGGGTTAATTTTAAATTCTATGGTGAATATTCTTCCGACGAGGATATTTCCATCAATATCATTATTTGTAACAATTATATCATCAAAATACGTATATGAATTGAAATTTTTCCACCAGTGGAATGTATATATTCTTAGTGGCTTTGTTTATATCCCATTTCATACACAAATCTATCAACTCAAGCCCTTGAAAATTGTTTAAGATCATATTGTGCATTGTTTAACCAGGACGCTTTGTTTTATATGAAAAAGATATTAAATCCTTATGAAAGATTTATATAAACTTCTTCAACATCCCAATATAAAAAGATATTTTTCACATCATATTATTACATGGACCATTTAAGTTTAACATCCAAAGAAATTAAAATGCAAATTATATTCATTTTAGCCAATGGAGCAATTGTTTATTGGTAGACAATACTATAGGATTAAGTATAATCATTTTTTTATTAAAATTGTTTTATAGCATTCCAAGATTTTATCTACTTCATATTTTAATGAGAACATTCACTTGCATCTAACAATATTTTTTTCCATTTTGATAGCTCAACAACTATTCAAGTGTGATTTTTTTCAAGGCATTCATCTCTGCCCTCCCCTCATCATATTGACTCTTATATTATGATATCTCAAATAAGGTTTATATTATTTTATCGTTGCTGAAGCTAATGGATGCGGGGCTCGGGGGAGGATTGGCCGGTCCTCAAGGGAGGGGGGCCTCCTTCCCCTTCTTCCTTTGCCTCCTCCCCCTTCTTCCTTTGCCACCTCCCATTTTTCCTTCCTTTCTCCTCCTTTTCTTATCTTCCTTCCATTCCTCCCTCACATTTTCTTTCTCTCCACCTCACCATTCCTTTCTAAACGCTTTCCTATTTTAAATCATTTCCTAAAACCTAAAATTCTAATTTTATTCTCCTTCCTTATTTTAAAACTTTCCCAAAATTTCAATTCTCTAGTTATTCTCCTTGCTTATTTTAAAAGCCTTTCCTAAAGTATGAAATCTCTTTTTATTCTTCTTTCTAATTTTAAAAGCCTTTCCAAAAATTTAAAATTCTTTCTATTCTCCTTTAATATTTTGAAAGTCTTTCTAAAATCTAAAATCCTTCCTAAAAATGGTCAAATCACTTTATAAATAGAAGGTGATGTACTTAGAGTTAGGGGTCATGTTTTTGATATCTAAAATCGGATTTTATCATTGGTATTTTCCGCTTTGAGGGCTGTATTGAACGTCAAAGTAATGCTCCGGCTGTACCTCGTCCGAGGTGGTGATCGTCTCCATGGGTCCGAGTGGTTCTCCGGCTGTAGCTCGACATCGATGAGATATTTATCTGCCATTTCACCCTTCCTGTTGTTGTCCATCGCATCCCAGCCCTACAGTAGGCCACCGCACCTCTTCCCCAACAACCACCGGTTGTTGTCCTCCCTCCAACATGCTGTCAACTTTCTCCCAACAAGGCTTCATTCCCTCATACTTCATCCCAACACTCAGTTTCCCTTCCTGAACAACCCAAACTTGTTGTCCACCTGCCCATAGTTCCTCTTAGCACTCAGCCGACCTACTTCCAACAGTCTACCTTGTTGCACAGGCCTATCCCATCACTGCCAGCGCTTCCCCGCCCGCTGCACACCCTCAAAAAATGATGATCCCCACTACTGTCCCACCTTCCCAGCTTGTTGCCCCACCTTCCAACCTACCTCCCAATTGCCCAACAAACCTTCCCGCCACCTTAAACGGCTACCTACCTCCTCCAGTTCACCATCCAAACCCTATCAGCCCCTCTCCCGCATTCACACTTGTTGTCCGCAAGCCTCTGAATCCACTAGACCAACCTCCACCGCCCTTAGGATACACTTTCGATGTGTTGGCTTTTGTCTTTGTGTTTGTTTGTTATTTATTTCATGTTTTGAAGAGTCATTGTAACTGATTTCAAATTCAATAAAAATATATGTATTTCTTTTATGGATTGGGCTTTCTCTTCCAGTATCACTAATATTTATAAGAAAGATTTTGAGTAAGAAAATTTTTAGAATGATGTGCACTGTCAATGTTTTGAGCAAATGGGTTGAATGCATTTTTCCTTTGCTTTCATTCCAAAAAATAATGGTCTCTACAATCTATTTTAGGTATCCTAATAATAAATAATAGTTTGTAATAATACATATTCCTAATCTAACCACTCAACTATAAGGAAAGAATATGTACAATTAATATACAAAATTTAATTCAACAATTTAAACAAGGAAACTCTTAATTCTGCCTGATTACAATTAATCTTGATTGATATCCCCCTCAAATTGATGTTGGTTGATCAAGAAACATTAATTTATCAACAAGGAACTGATGACACTGCCAAGAAACATGCACCAACCAGTAATAGATCGACGTGTATCAGAATAGTCAACCCAATCAACATCACTATATGTTGTTAAGCAAATAGAAGACTCTGCAGAAAAAAAAACATGTTACAATAATAAGTACCTTTCAAATACTTGAATAATACGTTGAACTGCAGCTAAATGAAGATGTGTAGGTGTCTGCATAAATTGAGTAACTTGTTGCATAGCAAATGAAATATCAGAACGTGTGATGGTTAGATAATTGAGACTCCCAACAAGTTGTCGATACAGAGATAGATCAGAAAGAAAGTCACAATCATTCCGTTGATATTTAACATTCACTTCTAAAGGAGTATCAACAGGATGACTCTCTTATAGCCCAGCCAAAGCAATGAGTTCCTTAGTATAGTAAGGTTGGTGAAAAAAAATGTTAGTGGGAGAAGAGTGAACCTCAAGACCTAAGAAATTGATTAAAGACTCAAATTCTTCATATGAAAAGAACCCTGAAGACACTTCTATAACTGAGTATCAGATCCTGTGATGACAATATCATCAACATAGATTAATAACAGAGCAATTCTCTTATTAGTTATACAAAGAAATAATGAAGAATCATACTAACATTGAATAAAAGAGAAACTAAGAAAAGTATTGCACAATCATTCTGTTGATATTTAACATTCACTTCTAAAGGAGTATCAACAGGATGACTCTCTTAGAGCCCAGCCAAAGCAATGAGTTCCTTAGTATAGTAAGGTTGGTGAAAAAAAATGTTAGTGGGAGAAGAGTGAACCTCAAGACCTAAGAAATTAATTAAAGACCCAAATTCTTCATATGAAAAGAACCCTGAAGACACTTCTATAACTGAGACATCAACTGAGTATCAGATCCTGTGATGACAATATCATCAACATAGATTAATAACAGAGCAATTCCCTTATTAGTTATACAAAGAAATAATGAAGAATCATACTAACATTGAATAAAAGAGAAACTAAGAAAAGTATTGCACAATCATTCTGTTGATATTTAACATTCACTTCTAAAGGAGTATCAACAGGATGACTCTCTTAGAGCCCAGCCAAAGCAATGAGTTCCTTAGTATAGTAAGGTTGGTGAAAAAAAATGTTAGTGGGAGAAGAGTGAACCTCAAGACCTAAGAAATTGATTAAAGACCCAAATTCTTCATATGAAAAGAACCCTGAAGGCACTTCTATAACTGAGACATCAACTGAGTATCAGATCCTGTGATGACAATATCATCAACATAGATTAATAACAGAGCAATTCTCTTATTAGTCATACAAAGAAATAATGAAGAATCATACTGACATTGAATAAAAGAGAAACTAAGAAAAGTATTGCAAAACTTTTCAAACCAGTCCAGTGAAACCTGTCTCAAACCGTATAGTGACCATTTGAGTTTACAAACATCATGTGAGGTGTAGAAAACAAGCACGGAGGAGGAATCATATAGATATCTTCCTTAAGATCCTCATGCAAAAAAGTATTCTTAACATTCATCTGTTATAAGGACTAGCCTTTAGAAGTAGCAATAGATAGAACAAGCCGGACAGTTGTCATCTTAGCCACAGTTGGAAATATCTCTTCATAATCAATCCCATAATCCTGTCGATTGCCAAGAGCTACCAACTCTTAATTCTGCCCGATTTCAATAAATCTTGATTGATATACACTAGATTATAAGGTACGGTGTAGTGATGGATTGATAAGTGTTATGGGAATTAATTAATCATGGTTCCAAGTCTTGAGCTTATTAGAGATTTTGGATGGGTTATATTCAAAAGAAAGAAAAAATTAAGATTGTCATACTTCTCTTCTATGTGGTTGTTCTCCATTTGAAGATAATTTTGAGTAAATAAACACTATTTTTAATTAAAAGTGACTTATTTTAAAGTGATGAATTTTTTGTTATTCAAATGTTAATCATTATACATTGATGATAGAATGATTGCCCTATGAAACACAATTCAGTGATTTATGATCAAATTTATGCTTATATTATTTATGAATTTGAATATATGACAATAAAAAATTTTAGGAAGTGCTTCGAAAAAATTATGTAAAATGGTTCGGAGAACTTTTAAAAAGCAATCATTTAAGGATGTTCTATTCATGAGATATGTGAAGGTTTGGATATCTTCTCCAGTATCTTTTGAAACTTTGATTTGAAAAATTAATATCCTCATAACTTTCTAAAGATGCCTATTTTTCTTTCTGCTACCAATTTTGTTATAATAATCACCCAATTATCACTGCTTAACTGTGTCACCCAACATCTAACTACTGACAGTCATCATCCGGCCGTCATTTCTCACCCATCGTTCGCTCAACAGTCAGCCAATCGTCATGATAACCCTCCAGTATTTCCACTAGCCACAGGAAGCCAACAAACTACTCCCAACTTCGTAGTCCCATCTTCTCCGATTAATAAAAAAGCAGACTTTTGTAATCTCTCGTTCATAATGTATCATTTCAACTAATTTGAATACCCTTTTTTCACCTTTTGAGCTTTTCACCCGTTATATATATATGATGTCGTATCCAAACTCCTCATTCATCTATTTGTGTCGGATCATCGTATAAAGTCAAAAAATTTAATCTTTCAAATCCATAGCCATGAATATCATAGTACGCAAAAAATTATGAAATTACTAATGCTCAGCTTGCATATTTAAATAGCCTTTCGTTTACCCCGCAACTAGCAGCACCCAAAACAGAGCTTTATTTCATTAGAAAAAAAATAGCTTACCATTCCTCTCATTCCTCCCGAATTAACGAATGCAGCACTAGCTTGGCTCGACTGCCTGATCGCTCCTTCCAAATCTGATGGCAAGTCACTAATCCAAATTTTTTCTTCTCTTGTTTAACAACCAGAGGTGAGAGGTTGGCAAAAGTTTAATAAATCGAATTAGGGTTTCGGGTGAACCTGTCTTCCTCCAGCTCCTGCTGCAGTTCGGCCTCCGCCGGAGTGGCGGGTGGTGGCGGCTGAGCATTATCGGCGTCAAATTTCTCGAATTTGGCGCGCGCTGTGACTGCTGGGTAAGATCGCCAACGCACAGGACCAGGAATTAGGGCGAGAGAGGAAGGAACAGCGCAGATTTGAAGGAGATGATGGTAATGGCGTGAGCAGGAGAGGGAAGGAGATGGAGCTGAAAACATATTCCGCTTCTCTGAATCGGTTACCTTGCGATAGAATGGAAGCCCTCAGCCGTAATACAGGTAAGGATTATTTCCACGCAATATTATCTGAAAAATATTATTATTAAACGATTTTATATTAAAAGTTAATTTAATTTATATATTTAAAATTTTTTATTTTTTTTTTTTTAACTTTATTTTATTTTCAATGGAATAATTTAAATTTTAAAAATTGTACATTTAAAACTCAGTGCCAAACAAAGGCTAAAACCTAGCATGTAAAATTCACAGGATAAGCGGAATTATTGTGTGGAGTAAAATTTACTCCATTAGTAGAATGATTATTTAAGGTTTTTGTGTTGCACGGTAATCCACCACTCACAAAAATAATTATAATTTAATAATAAAAGTTATCAATATTTTTTAAATGAAAAACCCCAAAAAATTAAAAAGTTATGGGGTCTAGTTCGGTCTAAATAATTCACTATAAGTGTGTATGTACAACGATATATTTTTTTTTGTCACAACTGGGAGAATAGTGTTCCAGTTTTACACCGGTCACAAAACATTTTCATATACAATTTACTGAACACTTAATGAGTCAAGAAAAAGTCCTTGAAGCTATCATCAGATCTTCGAAATAGTGTTATACGCTTCGACCGTATTTTGGCCATGAAGTTACAAGCAAATGTGGCCCACGACTGAGATTAGGGGCAGCCAACAAGCTGTGGACAATGGTGGTCGACGACTACATATGTCAGAAGCTATCGTCGAGCCTTCAGTTCAAAACAACTCTGGAATTTTACTTCTGCTCCTCCCTCAGTTGAAGAGATGGGGTCTATTTATAGTCTTTAAATGAGGGGCATATTGGTCATTTGGGAAATAACTTCCCCAAACACCTCAGCGAATGACTCATATTGATCCCCCTTGATCATAGAGGTTTTTTTAATGATGTGAGGACCTTAATAATCTATGAATTAAGGGAACTTAAGCTCCTTTGATTTCTCTCTTCGAGACGCTTGACTTGATAATGAGAATACAAATTTAGAGTTCATTTGACCATTAATTAATAATCCGAAGCTTTCAAAAACGTTTTAATGATTCGATTTGGGCTTGATTGAACTTGAATTGAACCAAATTGGTTATATGCATGTTCATACTGTCGAGTCGACCAGTTTGACTGTAAACTTGTTGAAATTGAGGATCTGGATTATCTTGAATTTTAATTTGTAATGTTTCTTGCTAAAAATGCCCCAAAATTCGTGTTTGATAATAATAATTTGTTGATGACTTGTCAATAATAATGACATAAATAAATAAGTAGTCTTACAAATGCATAATTATATTTATTGTTTTGAGCATTCATTGATTATGCTTTATGGCTCGTGGTGAATATGTGAGCGGCTCAATAAAAGAAAAAAAAAAAAAAGCCTAATAAAGCTTTTAAAAATGGTGATATTTACATATGCTACATTTAAGCTTCAATTTCTACATAAGTGCCAACTTACCCATGTGCTAAATCCTTTTAGGGTGTTGAGTCCCATATCATTTGTGAGCTTCACAACTCAGTGAAAACCTATCAATAAATGATGTGATAGAAGAGGACAGATTTGTGCTTTGGAAATTCTCCCTCTCTATCCTTTGGAAGAATACAAGGGAGGCAAGAAAGAGAAAAGGAGTGAGCATGGATGGTTTAATAATCAAAGCACCCAAGAAGTGAAGCTTGAATCAATAAAATATTAATAAATTATAAGATTTTTTGATAGATATATTATATATTTCTATTAAGGAGTGTTATGTGCTAGAAAGCTAATAGAGAATAAAATGATAAATTAATATCATAGTGTTGTACAAAAATTCAATATATATATATATATATATATACACACGAGACACTAGAGATTTCACATGGCTTTAGAAATTGAAAAATCAAAGAAATCCATTGTATGTTGTTAATTATACAATTTCACACCTCTCTAAATAGAGAAGATAGAGCTCTAGAATTTAAACTAAGTAAAAAAAGATTAGACAATAATAACCAGTGTTATGAAGTTCACAATATATTAATTTTTGCGCTCGATTATAAACGAGTCAAACACAAACAAAATTTTGTTTGTTCGTTCGTGTCCAGAGTTCACAATATATTAATTTTTGCGCTCGATTATAAGCGAGTCAAACACAAACAAAATTTTGTTTGTTCGTGTCCAACTCGTTTTGACTCAAAATATTTAACATGTGTGTGTGTGTGTGTGTGTGATGACTATTATTTTTTATAATTTAATTGACTACAGGGCTACAAAATATTATCAATTAAAATTTTTAATTCAAAAAATATAATGAATATATATGAAATTCTATTTAAATAAATATCTTAATAAAAATAATATTATTTAAATTTCGTCCTTACCTTAAACATCCTACGACTGTATTACTAAGGCTATCAAAATGACTTGTTGTTTGTGAACAACTCATGTTCGACTCACTAGGCAAATGAGTTGAACGCAAACTAATTTTTTTAGCTCGATATATAAACCAGCTGGACATAAACAAAGATATTTTTCACGAGCCGAACAAAAACAAAGCTTGGACTTGCTTAAGCTCAGCACAGTTATACTATACTCATATTTACTCTTAGGGTTCTGAGGTTATTCGTCTAATTATGACGAAAATCCTCATCCTTTAGGAATTTTTCCAATATAATGTATTGTATAATATAAGTTATAAATTTCTAATATGTTGTTAAATTAAAACATCGGATAAATATCTTTCCAAAATCAACAAAGCCAAATAATATAATGGTCGAGATGTTGTTGAGTTTTTTCGATATCTCCAATATCTTATATTTTTTCTCATTTGAGTTTCATAAATAACTATTTATCTTTTGAGCTTTTCCATTTGATATTTCAATAATCAATCGTGGAAATAACTATTTAAACTTGTTGTATTCCAAATGCATCTCAATCTACTTCAATTGAAATATGCAAAAAATATATATATATATATATATATATATATAAATTCCCTCTAATTGTTTTAAATTTGATTACCATTTGAAAATAACACAACTCTTTTGAAGTTCTTATTTATGAAAATTTAATGATAAAACATTGCTTTGAATGAGATAAAAATTTGATGCCTATGACTCATGGATTAGAGTTTGGTGATGCAATTAATTGTTGATGACCCTTGCAATATTAACAATCATTTTTTGCAATAGAAAGACATAAATCTGTTTGTAGATCATTTTTTTCATATGTTCTAATGATGCGTATATACACATTTAATACTTTCAAATATTTTAAGAACAAAATTTCTTAAAACTTTTAAGTGAAAAAAGATCTTGAATGGTACCCATGCACAACTCATAAACCTAAGAAATCATACATGCAATCAATTTGTAACGTGCATGTCTCAACTCAACCAAGACTTAAAGATGTAAATAAGACAAGTTGACACATAAACGGACTCAAGCTCAACTTAATAATGAGCCCATGAGTTGAGGTTGGTGAGAGTCGCTGAATAGTGATGTTATGTAATAAGAGTTCAAACATTTATTGATTATTCATTAGAGCTCATGATAAATATGAGAGCAGTTAAGAAAAATGAATCAAGCTAATTAAACATTTAAAAATGGTGATATTTACATATCTTACACCTAAGCTTCAATTTTTACATAAATGCTGCGTCACCTATGTTAGTTAAAAGTGATATTTATAATTTGACATGAAATATTCAAGTGCTATAATACTTGATATGTAAATAAATAAGAATTTAAGGATGCATATGTAAATGCCGTAAAATTACAACCATTTTATTTTTTTCCCAACGCCGTTCTCCACGCCTCTCCTGCCGGTCGCACTCTCACTCTCGCGTCGCTGTGCTGGACAGTGCTGCCGGCCACCCTATTGCCTCACTGCCGGTTGTCCTTTTGTGCAGGTCATTCCTGCAGGTACCCAACCTGCCCTCCAGCAGCGCTTTCCAACCCTAGTATTGCAGGTCGTCCTCTCGCCGTCCAGTTCTTCCATCCTCACAAGCCACACTGCACCCGCCAGCTTGTAGGGCTTTTCAGGTATGTTGATTGTTTTCATTCTATCGAAACTGAAACCAATAAGTTTTCTTTATTGTTTTAAATCACTGTAAACGTTTTCTGGTTATATTGATTGAAATTATTCATGGTCCAGAGGTAATCTATGACCATTTGATTATTGGATTTGTTTAGCTTTTGGTGATTGTTGCGTTATTATAGGTAATAACAACATTGAAATCGTGGTTTTAAATCGAGCCTATAAGAGAGTTCGAGCCGACCGTATGGAGCCGAACTTGAGCTTGTTGCGGCTTGGTCTCAATTCGACTTATTTTCTCTCCGAACTACCTCGCTCAAGTGTTTAATTGCTATACAGTGGTGGTATAAAAAATTAACATTGTACGACCAAGATAAAATAAAAATACAAGTAATCATTGTGATATTGGTTCTAAAATTATAACAAAAAAGGCAATGGCTTCTAAAATTGGCCCTAAACAATATTGATCTTAACTAACCTATCCTAATTTCTAATTTATTTAATTAATGAATACTATTCCTAATATCATTTGCGAGTAAATGCATTTTTCATACAAATCTAATTTTAAGCCAAAAAAAAGAAAGATAAAAAAAAACCCGAAAAGCACGCACATGCACACACACATACAATACTTGCTAAATTTGGCACAACCACAAATTTTCTAACCAAAGACATCAATGAAACTTATAGCATCCACTTCCTATTTCACATCACTCTCTTCTCTCAACCCTCATTGAGTTGCCTTCAAATGAAATAAAGACATAACCAAAATCCATTTTATCACTTCTTCATCTTTCACTAACAACTAATGGAAGAAATTAGGCAAGAAAAAACGCCTCTTAAACTTTTATTGTGAAATTTGTCAAATAAAATTTTTCATCATCTATGGCTCTTAATATAATCAAAATAATAAGAACACAAAAGATGTGAGAATAAATATTCTCGATACCCAAAGCGTGGAGGTTGTTGAAGCATTGAGTTGGAGCTTGTGGTTCTTATTGTGTAGGTGAAATTTTGTGTCAAGTTCCACTTTGTGTCAATCAAATTTGAGCTTTAGGTCTATAGGCTTCTTTGAGTGGAAAAGGTTGTGGGGAGGTTGACAGGCTTGGTCAAGTGGAAGAAGCTTTAGGGAGGTAAATGTGCTCAATCAAGCAGTAGCAAAAGGAAAAAAGACTCTTAAACATTTGTTGTAAAATTTGTAAAATAAAATTATCCATCATCTATGGCTCTCAATATAGTCAAAACAATAAGACACAAAAGGATGTAAGAACAAATATTCTCTATACCCAAAGAGTGGAGGTTGTTGAAGCATTGAGTTCAAGCTTGTGGTTCCGATTGCATAAGTTTATGTGAAACTTTGTGTCAATGGAACTTGAGCTTTGGGTTCATAGACTCAGCTAATTGGAAAAAGTTATCGGAAGGTTGAATGGCTCAGTCAAGTGGAAGAACTGCAAGGAGGTCAACGTGCTCAATCAAGCAGAAGCAAAAGGAAAAAAAGACTCTTAAACATTTATTGTGAAATTTGTAAAATAAAATTATCCATCATCTATGACTCTTAATATAATCAAAACCATAAGATCATAAAAGGATGCAAGAACAATTATTCTTTATACCCAAAGCAATGAGGTTTTTGAAGCATTGAGTTTGAGGTTGTGGTTCCTATTGCATCAGTGTAGGTGAAACTTTGTGTCAATGGAACTTGAGCTTTGAGAAGATACACTCAGTTGACTGGAAAAGGTTGTAGGGAGGTTGACGGGCTTGGTCAAGTGGAAGACGCTGTATGGAGGTCAATGTGCTTAATTAAGCAGAAGCAAAAGGAAAAAAGAAGACTCCTAATCATTTATTGTAAAATTTGTAAAATAAAATTATTCATCATCTATGGCTCTCAATATAATCAAAACAATAAGGACACAAAAGTTTGTAAGAACAAATGTTTTCTATACCCAAAGCATGGAGGTTGCTGAAGCATTTAGTTCGAGCTTGTGTTTCCTATTGCATCTGTGTATTTGAAACTGTGTCAATGGAACTTGAGCTTCGTGCCAACACGCTCGGTTGAGTGGAAAAGGTTGTAGGGAGGTTGACGGGCTTGGTCAAGTGGAAGAAACTGTCGGGAGTTCAACGAGATCAATCAAGCAGAAGCAGTTGCAAGAATCAAGAATTAGTGCTATTGTTGCTCACTAACTTGGGTGAAGGCAACATACCACCGAGCAACATAATATTGATTAAATATATTGGATCCATAAACCATACCAGCTTTGTTTCTTTGCCAATGACTCGGGCCTGCTCCAGCCTTCTTCGGTATGCTTTGAGGCTCATCTGAACAAGACAACATGCTTCTCACACTAAGTACACACTTCATGCACTGTCATTGTGAGATTGCTATACCAAGTGGATCCGCGAATCTTTGTGCTTCAAAGCATGCATTTAAACACATTGCTCATCACTCATTAGGCAAATTTATTTTATGCACTCTATTTTAGCAAATAATAAATAATCATCGCCAATGGATCCTTTAACAACCATTATGAATCAGGTAGTCATTCTTATAACTACAATTTTCACACTATAAAGTATTCTCCATGTACTTAAATTGTTCAACAACTTATTATCTATCCTAAAGTTAACTATACATTTCAAACACAATTTTTTTTTATTCTTCATATCTTGTTATTTAGAAAAAGAACACGAGGAGGATGATTAGACTTACTGTAGAAAAGGATAATTTGTCACGTTGAATAATCCAATGATAACGTAAGCTCCAAACACTTCTATATTATCTATTTTTAAGAAGGTCTAAATTTTAATGAAAAAAAATTGGCTTCAAAACCTATTTTTGTCGTTTATCCGTTTTGTTTTCAAAAATTAGGTTTTTGTTATTGTTTAAGGGGATAAATATTGAATAATTTTATTGTGTTGTCTATGAACTAACAAAAATCAAATAGACCCATTTTTTAATTGTGACATAATAATCTTTGTTCAATTTCTCTCATTCATAGTGACAACCGAGGACTATTCTCTAATTTTATTATCTATGGGATTTAATGTTTTATATTTCAATCAATAATTATATCTTGACATGGATATTTATCTAAAATAAAATATAATATGTGTACTATCTTTTTCATTGTTTTCAGTATCACAAACAATAAATTTGTTGGTCAACTTAAAATAATCAAATTTGACAATGCCAAAGTTTACTTTAACAATTCTCCCACTTCATATTAAAAAATAAAATTCATGTTTTGTTATCGATAGCATGCTTCAACCTCGAAATGGAACAAAAAGGCTGTAGACTACATCGCAATTGAATTTTGCAACAGTTGTGTGCGAAGCTAGCGCTGTGTGAAAGAAGTGTGCTGGTACAAGTACTCGAGGCGCACTTCAACGTTTCAAAGGGGTTGCGAAGTTGAAAGAATATTACATGTTTTGTCCTGATGCATTTAGACTTCATGTACAACACAAATAACTCGTATTCTGCTCGATCATTAAGTAGCCTGTGTTTGTTTCGTTTATTAAGCAAATGGGATAAATATGAATAAATTTTTTGAGCTCGATTTATAAACGAGCCGAACATGAGGAAGCTTCTGTTTGATCGTGTTTGGCTAGTTTTTGGTTGAATTAATTAAATAATATAAATATTATTATTTTAATATTTATATATTAATTTTTTAAAGATTGACATTGATTGTTTTAAAATAAAACTAAAATTTAAATTTAATTTAAGTAAAGTAAAATTAAAGTTAAAATTTTTTAGTATTATTAACTTAAAAAACAATTTACTTCACTCAAATATCTCAAAAATTAAAAATTTTTTAACACAAAAATATATTGTGAGAAAAAAACTAAAGGTGCAAAAAAAATATACGAGGTAGAATTTTGGAAGATTTATATGCATATCACTCAAATCTTATGTATTTATATATCTAATGCATAAACTTCATTTTTTACACATATACCACCTTATATAGGCATGAAAAAAGTCATTTCACATTTTAAAGTTAAAATAGTGGTATCTTTGTTATGATATCAAAAATTTGGTTGGAATATAAAAAAACAAAATTAAGATGTTAGATTTGTAAATACATAGTAATTGGGTGGTATGTATATAAAAATTACAGAAAACCAAAACTCTCGCAATAAGAACAAGAACATTACCTAAATGACAGAAAACCTAATCAAAATTTTGAAGTCTTGCAAAACCCTCAAATCTAAAAAAAACAGAAGATCTAACTGTTGTAATTGAAAAGAACTTTATAAATAGTAGAAATCGAGTATATATTCGATTTGAGAGTAGAAATGCAAAAAATCGTTGAATTTCTGTAAGAATCGAGTTGTAGGGCGTCAATCGACTCAGAGTATACACGGAAGGGAAATGAATAAATGTGTGCTTTTTGACGTCTATATGATATATTAAGTTTGACCGACGGATTTCTGACAGGGTTTGCACTCCAGCTGCATGTTCAACGTTGGTCTCCAATAGTACCCAACATTGCCATGCCCAAATACACATGTGATTTCTGTCACAAACTCTATAATACTTGTGACAAGTGTTGGAAGCTCCAAGAAAAATCAAAATATAAATCTTCGACCAAATCCTCCGCTGCTAAGGGTTTCACTAAAACCTCTGAATCCACGATCGTGCAACTGGCTCCCACTCGGAACATCCCGAAATCATCAGACTTTATTAAGAGTCAAATGGAACACTTAATTAAAATGCTTGGGTCTATTCAGTTCTCTTCCGACCCATCAACCTCTCTTGTTCATCAAGGTATCATGCCTATGACACTAACTGCTTTTGCTTCAACTAGTCAGTGGATTATTGATTTAGGTGCCACAGACCACATGACCGGATGTTCTCAAGCCATCTCAATATATTCTTTGTGCTTTGGGAGAGACTATTAAAATTGCCAATGACTTCTGTAATTCAATTGCGAGTAAATGGTCGATTATTCTAACAATCGGGCTGACTTTAGAATCTGTGTTACACGTACCTTTGCTTAAGTGTAAT